TTTTGACAGTTCTGTATCTATTTTTTGTTTACTAGGACGTTATTATCATGGTAGTCACGTGTTGAATGTTCATGCTTCCGGTAAAATTATTTATTTCTCTTGCGGTTTTGTATGTTATTTTATCTCGGTTATGAGCAGTGTTGGCTTTGCTGTTTATTTTGATGTTGATTGGAGATTTGGTTGTTCAAATATTTTTTGCTGTCGAGGATTTATAAATACTTGTGAGAATTAAAACTAGCAGACAATTACGATAAGGATTTTATAAAAAAAATGATGAAGAATATGTTGAAAAATTACAAAATTGTTTTTCATTTGGGTATTTTTTCGAAATTGTTGTTTGTGCAAATTTGTGCCTAATGAATTGTTAACTTTTGTTGTTGTTTAATGCAGTTGTTTTTTGTGCTTTTTCATGTTTTTTATTTGAGAGAATGCAATTTTTACTCCTCTTATTGTTTTGGTTCTGTTCGCTGAATTTTCTTCTTGGCATCATAAAAAAACGTTCAAGACAATTTACGAGGTAAGTGAACGCATCATTGCTTCATTTCTCCCGCTACACGTACAACTTTCTACGCCCGTATGAATGCTGTTTAAATGCATGTCGTCTCTCTGCATGTTTGTTTCTTCGTATGTGTGGTTTGTTTGTGTTCAGTTGTTTGTATGTCTGCCTGCACGTTTGGTTGCGTGTCTGTTTACATCTGTCTAACTGTATGCTTGTTTGCGTGAATGTCTTTATGTTTGATTGTGTGTTTGTATCTTTTGTACTGCATTTCTGTATTTTACCTTTTGCTGGTTAAATTTCTGTTTAAGTTTATATAAATATTTGTATGGTTTGTCATATAGATGTACGATTGTTTCTATGGTTTTTTGTAGCTTTGTTATTTTTTAGCTTGTCAGTCAGCACGTACATGTTCATACGCGTGCGTGAAATTTCATTGTTGTTGTGCGTGTTTGGCTGGTTCGTCTGCTTTCTGGTTTTGAATTATCTGTTAACATGTGTTTTTAACGATGGTACCTTGTCCGCCTGAGTGTATTATTGAGTCTAATGCTCGCTCTTCTGTTGTTAAAACGTTATTTTATTTTTGTAAATATTTTCTTTGGCAGTTGAATTGAGTTTGCTGGCATGACAGAAAAATGAAAGCAGGTTTTTATAAAATTACAACCGTTTAGCGCCTTCTCCTCACTGACCACACGAATGCAGACTTGTGGTCAGTGGGAACCTGTCAACGTCCAATGTTCATCGGGGGTTGCGTAATTTTTACATCATCAAAACATCAGTGTCGGTTATTATTATTAAATAGATACTGATTGATTTAACGAAATTCTCGAACATTCTAGAATAAAAACTATCGTCATCACCATCATTGTCGCCATCATAGTAGTTAAATTATTCATCATTGTTATTAACACGTCTCCCATCATCATCTTCTTCTTTTTTTTTCTTTTTTATCAACAACACCATTTTCATCTGCATCATCATCTCCATCCCCATCATCATCAATATCCTTGTCATCAACAACAACAAGAAGGTCACCATCTTCATCATCATCACTGTAACTATCATCATTTTTTTCAACATTTTCCAACGTAATCGTGAAGTCGTGACAAAAATAATTTAATTACTATATTATTCATTATATCAACATCATCATCATCAACATCATCAGCTTCATCATTACCAACATCATCATCATAATCAACAACATCATCATCATCAATATCATCATCACCATTATCATCTCCACCATCATCTTCATCATCGTCAGCATCATCGTCACTAACATCATCAACAACATCATTAACATCATCTCAATCATCATCTTCATCATCGTCACCATCATATTAATCATTTCAGCGGGCAGTTCACTATATTATTTGACAATAGCGTATCGGGACTTCCTCCAATTAATTATCTCGTTGAGAGGATTTTATTTTTTGAGCGATTTCAGAGTCAGGCAGCCGCAGTTTGCTGAACATTGAATGCGAGAGTTATAAATCATTGAAATTGTATGCAGCGAGCCTAACAAGGTAGAATGCTTTTGGCCAATTTACTCTGCACATATTTTTTGCTGGCTTACATATAATTCATCATTCTCATTTTTCACTCATCTTCTCAAATCATTTTCGCTCCGTTATGAGTGCAATTTTTCAACAATTTTCATGATTTGAAAACTCAGTCGAGTTGAGAGGTTTAAATTTTCGAATGATTCAAATCCAGTCAAAATAAACAAATTTACATAAAAAATATTTTCATTTGTATAATCACGAATAAAAATTGTTTTTTAAAAATTATTTGCAATAATTTTTTAATTTTACCTAACAGGAAATAGCGAAAGGCAAAATATTTTTATGCAACTCAACTACCAAATTGTATTGAAAAGTTTTATATAATTTTTTTCAAATTTGAAAAATAATAAAGAAAAACAATTTAAATAATAAAATAAGAAACGAATTCAAGAATAAATTTCTTTTTCAATATTGGCTGACAACTTTAAGCTTCCAGCAATTTTGTTGAAGTTTTCAAAATGGTTGGTGCTTTCTTGCTATGGTTTCCTCAAATGGAAGACTTTATCTTTAAATATTTTCTCACAGAAATGTGAATTTGTTAATGATGTAATGTTAATTTGTTGTTAATATTTTGTTAAGAAGTTGTTGTTGTTGTTTCTGTTGTTGTTGTCGTTGTTGTTGTTGTCGCATAGAAGATTCTAAATAACGCTAACACAAAAACAACAATAATAATAACAACACAACAACGACAACAATAATAATAATTACAACAACAACAAGAATTTTTTCAAAATTATTAACTTAATTGCAACATTATAAACATCCAATGAACAACATCAACAAACAAACAATAAACAAACAAACAACAAACAAACAACAAACAAACAAACAACAAACAAACAAACAAACAAACAAACAAACAAACAACAACAACAACATAAAACATTTTGTCATTACATAAAAACAAGACAACCTCCATGTCAGTCTGCATCCGTAATTCGTAGATCATTGACGAAATGTTATGATTATTGCTTTGCTTGACTTTCTCGTT